TTTCAATAGCTCATCTTCAAATAAAAAAAATTACAGTGTTTCAAAATAAAAATGTCTGTGTTTTCAACTTTAAACTTAGAGGCCGTAACCCAAAATATCATACCATTTTGGAATCAGGCCGACTCCGTGAGAAAAAGAAACAAATTCTCTCCCGGATCTGAATCTCTAATCCTAAAATTTTGTATTCTCAAGTTTTCATTACTGTGATTATTTTCGGATTCCGTCATCTTAGCTTCTACTGATAAAAACAATTAAAGGGACATAACTCTCCAATTTTCAATATCTCATATTCAAATACTAAATGGAGTAAATTGATATCAAAATGAAAAATATACAATCAATAATTAATAACGACTGGCAGTGCTTCATCTCATAAATATAAAATTAAAGACAATATTGCTGCTAATGCATTTGGTAAAAATAGAACGAGGCGAATCCAGCTGCCTATTCTATAAATTTAACTTTGGCAATTGCTTTGATGAGCGGTAAAATAATATTCGAAACTCTATCTAATCTAACGAGCAAGGCGAAGGGAACTCATCAATGGAAGCGGTGGAAAATAATCTACTTACGTAATCGGGGGAAAATCGTTCTTGGAGGTTTCAATTAAAAATGAAATCTTATGTTTCAGCAGAAAAGTTCTCACTTACCTGAAAAGAAACAGAGAAAGAAATGGTGTTATTTATCTGTTGATTAACATTAACTGAAGTGTAATATATATATATATATATATATATATATATATATATATATATATATATATATCACAAAAAGGAGAAAACTTAACACATCATCGAATTTATTTCGACAGATAATTTTTTATTATCTGGCTCATCAAACCGAAATTACAAAATGGTTTAAATTTATCCAGACAATTCATTAAAAATTATTTTAAAATTAAATCACAAGAGAAAAGGAAGTAAATGTCTAAATTACTTTATCTAGAAAAAAAATTCCAAGGGATTTACATTATTGAGTGAGGAGTGGGGGAAATAAAAAGGAGAACCAAGGTATCAGCGCAATAAGCAGGTTTAGGCGGGGGAAGAAAAGAGACAGCTCGTGAAATACATTGAAATTAAATCAAAATTTATATCATCATCATCCAATCTACATCGTTATAATAAGAATCATCATCATAAATATAAAAAAGAGTGAAAAAAATAAAAACTACAATATATAAAAAAAACCTTAAACTCATTATATCTCATTCATCTTCATAATGATAAAATACATCATATATATATATGTGTGGCATACACATATAAAAAACATATACAAATATACACATCCGTACAAACACAAAGGTAATCATACACACACATACACATGCGTATATGCACACACGTATACATATATAAACATATATATACAAGTACACATATACATGCATATAAATACATACATACACATACATAAACATACCCACACATAAATATTCACAGAATATATATATATATATATATATATATATATATATATATATATATATATTTATATATATATATATATATATTTAAAATATGTATTTTTTCCGCTACACAGTTCTAATCATGTTTCAAAAATGGAAGCTAAAAGCCCCGAATTTAATTTTGTAATTAAATTAAAGACATTAGTTCCATTTCATCCTCAAGCGAATTTTGAAGTAACTTTTAAAATTACTGGGTTTTAAAGACACAGCTAAAATCATAATTCATGTTTCCAAGGTTACAGATGAATCCATTTTACTAGACGAGGGGTGGCTGGGTGTTCATTATGTCTATATTTTAATGTATCAGTTATTGCTACGTTTTGGTAGTGGGTAGGGATGTATTTTTCAATGAAATTTAACATCTGTTAAAAGCGTGTACATATGTGTACTATTGAGTGTATATATATATATATATATATATATATATACGTACATATCTCATTATATGTTTATATATACATACACATTCAATAGTACACATATACACATCCATATATACTACACTCACACACACATATATACATATATACACATATATACACATATACACCTACGCACATACACATATATACATATATAGGCATACATACATATATACATATATATATACACATATATATATACATATACACATGAACACATATACGCACATACATATATGCACAAAAACATATACATATGCATAAATCAAAATATAACTTTCAATAAATATTGCCAAATTATTGTATGACTGCAAAATAAATACAAAATAAAATTCTATTTATAAGATAATTTAAATCTATTTTTAGGGCGAGATTTAAATATAATTTCATTTCTTTGATTCAATAGTTGGCTAGTATTTTTAGATTTAATTCTTTAAATTTTTTTCCAGACACAAATTACGTCTATTTCTGAAGCTGTTAACGGTTTGGGATTTACTTATAATCTTCCATTATATCTGTGGAGAGAAGTTTCTATCCTTTAAGTCCCAGAAATGTTTAGAAAGAAGTGCTTGGTGTTTTAGATAAGGTTCTGAGAAAGAATGTTTGTGAT